AGGAAGCAGATTCCAGAGGCCGGAATCGTGTTACAGTACCCAGGTGCATTGGCGCCGTGTTGGATCAGAGCATGACTTCCGGTCTTCAAGCTTTTAGCTATAAACGGGGAAGTGATTGGTTGGATCCTTGAATTGATACCGCACTCAATATCGCACAAGTACCCATATACCCCAAGAATCACAGAAAGTACACGTTAGCAATACACATCGTTAGTAAAAATATTTATCGAATTCTCTGAAAAGCAATAAGCGTACACTCTAACTCCATAATTTGAATATGAGTACTCCCAAGTAAGCAGAAATAGTTATACTTGTAAATGTTTTTGACTGAGAACGTCGAAATAGCCTCTGGATCTCCTTCATCCTTGAATGAAATTGATGGATGGGGATTTCAGCGAAATACCCCTCAGTCGCGAACAGTTTATCAAGCTCAACTAACATGAGGATGACTAAAACAAGCACTACAAGAAGTTATTTTAATTATATTTTTTACGATTGACAAAACCAGAAATAGTATAAACAAATTCACGCCATAACGGAAGTCACGTTCCGGTACACTGAGCACATTCAATCTATACAGTAATTTAAGAAAACAAGAGCGAGAAGCAGAATTCGAAGGGCCCAAAAAGTTGAAGTGGTGTAGAAGAATCAGAGTGCACGCGTAGACGTTTCAGAGAATTCCGATGAATAATTTAATACGATGATTGCTGAGGTGTCTTCTGTGATTCTTGGGGTCATATTGATAGTTGAGCGATACTGAGTCAGTGCACTGTATGTAGTGAAGGGACAATGCATTACAGTAATGTTAGGCAGTTAACGCTAAGTGCAAGTTTGTTGAGTTGTGTACAAGATTTTTAACTTTGTTTCTTGCAGTGTCTCTTGTTTTCTGTGTGGGTCATCTACAACATTAACCTCCTTTATTGAGTTGTAGCTTGGTTTGAAATCTGGAACTATCTCTCTACTACCTTTCTTCTAGACTAGCTTTTGTTTTCTTCAGATAGTATGAATGGATCGTTCAGCGTGTTATAGCACTCCTTGCATCTAATACGATTGTTTCACTATTTCTCGACATGTTAATCCATAAAGCAGAGCAAAAACTGCTTTTGTAATACCCTTGATAGTAATACCATAGTGGTGAAATCATAGTAATCTAAATATGGCAAGAAGATGGCATTTCAAAAAGTTTAATAATATCCTAACCATGCAGTCAATTCAAATGACCAGCCAAGCACTTCCCCCCGCCCCATTTATAGCTAAAAGCTAAGGACCGGAGTCATGCTCTGATCGCTGCTCTCTCAGCGCGCCCCAATGACAACTCCGGGTTACTGTAACACGGATTCCCGGCCTCTGGAATCTGTCTTGTGCAGTTGGCAGCAAGGCATAGAAAGTCCTGTTTGAAACTCGCGCGTGCTACCGTAATCGCGAGTAATTGACAAACGCCTCTTTGTCCCAACGCCTGCACATCTAATGCGCGACGCGATCGATACTGCAGCAGATGATTTCCACTATCGATCGTTTCGCGACGCCGAATAAAGGTTGGTCGTCGTTGGTGGTGTGCGTCAGTTGCGGGTCGCGACAGCGTCACAGGGGTCCCCCGTCAAGTCCAGCGTAGGCTGCCTGAATATTCGTCCTGCTCATAATTACCCAGAAGCTACACCTCGCAAGTAATAACAGAAATCAAATACTTTAATGTTGTTGACTAAGCGTCAAAGTGTGGGCTTTATTGGGCTTTTAGATTATGAAAGCTAGGTGTCCTAACAAAATTCGCAACGTAAACTAAGTAGTTAATCGATTTTACTCTTGTTTGCTTTCGCGTGACCTCGCCGCTGGGTAGCTTAATTATGCATGTGGCGAGTTGGCAACCATGTTAACCAAGGCTGGCTCGGCTTTCTTGAAGAGATTTCCCTAGTCTATCGATTTCATTCTTTATAAAGATCGTTTCATTGACTTGGAGTTGTCGTTACGATTTCTCTGAGTTAAAAAAAATTGTTTTTCGTCAGATCCTTCGTGCCTGTAATTTTGGATTTCCAGTGGTAACTCCCTACACAAAACGAAAATAACGGTTTTGCGTAGTGTCTAACAAGGTTTATTGGTTTTATGTTACAGCATATATAAATTTGCTTTTTACAGGGGATTGCCTTTCAATTTTTGTGGTGCCTAAGTTGTCCATACTCGGGAACCTCATAAGAGCCTTCATTGTCTTCGATACTGTTGCATTTTGAGTGACGCTTCGAGAATTTTTGTCAAACCCAATAGAATCAGGGAAGGTTCACGAAGTGACAAGAGTTTGTTCAAGGAAGCAGCGAGGCGAACCATTTGAAGGCTTGCCCAGCATTGAATAATAATGAGTTGTCGGTTCAGATACTAACGACAGGGTGGTAGTTGACAGAGTAGTGAAGGAAAAAGCAGAAAAAACCAACTCTAAGTGTCTCCATATAGAACTTCGTCCAAAGCCGCGCTTGCAGGTACATGGGGCGGAGAAAGGGCGCGGTCGGCCGAGTTCTCTTTTGCTGATGCCAGCTCCTCCTTGTTATCACATCATCCACTAGTCGAAATGGAGGGAGTTAGTGGCGGAACAACCAAATTTGGGCTTCGTCGCAGTAAATGGCGGGGCCGTGGTTCCATTTCTAGTGCGTCGCAGTTTCCTCACGAGTTTTTGAGCTGTAAAAGTAGTGCATCCTCCATGCTTGCGAACGTCTTCAACTTCCAAGAAAAACAGTCCGAACATCGGTTGAATGCGGGGCGTGCCTCTAAGTTTCAAATGCTACTACACTTGTTATTTTTCATAGGGCAAGTATGCTGAAAGGGAAAGGCATCTAAAGAGTTCTCGCAGAGTTGTGACTACTGTAATGCGCAAAGAAGTTTGTTCGACCACTCCGAAGCTCCTCTCGTTAAAAATCCCCATTCCCATTACAACAGCTGTCTTCAACATTCACTTGAACTGACTACATTTTAATTCACATACTATCCTGCACGCTCTTTAGCGTACATTCTTGAGATTTTTTTCCCTCTTCAATTACAGCTTGAGCCGCACCATCAGACACTACAGAAGAAGGGTGGGTTTTTATTTTTTGGTAGTATGTTTACCCTGAACTTGAACCCAGAATATCGTGTTAAATCGCAAACGACTGAAATTTTCTATCCCGTTTCAATGCCAATGCATCGTAGGTGTTATTGCCACAGGACCGATGGTCATTTGAGACTTGTGTTGAAGAAATTATAAAATAGCAAAAATAGATTTGTGCATTTTTGTGCCATAGTTATCACGGGAACTATTTTCGCAAAGCCAAAGCCCCTTCTCTACCAGTTGTTTAACCGGTAAGGGACAAAAAAATTGTGGAAATCGAGGTAGTCTCTAAAACGTCGATTATTTTATAGTCTCAAAATATGAGGACAGATACAGAACATTTCCCATACAACAGAGTTGAATTTCACCACTTGCTCTATTTACCTTGTTTTCTTTATGATGGCGGATGTAGGTTGCCAGTAGCGATTCGCACGTTTCTGGTTTTTCATTACTCAAATCTCCCCTGTCACAAGACTTTCTGTCCTCGACACTGACGGTTTTTCTATCAGAATCTCTCTTTTTCTGGGCATTGTGGTCCGAGTGTAGTGCTCCCTGCGTCGGTTTTGCTATTAGAAGTCAATTACTTCGTATAAGTCCATTAACTCGTTTTCGGCAAGGTTTTAACGCCACAGATGGAAGTTAATGCATTGAGCGTTACGCTAATGCACCTTAAAGACACTAAGAACAATTGCGAGATGCACCCTTTCTAGTGCAAGGTGAGACGCTTTGTAGCTGCATAAGTTTACCACCTTTGCAACTCGAAAGTGCGCAGAAATGAAGCTGGACGGTTGTGGTCGCTCTTTCTTCTCTATTTCCCGTCCGCTGTTGATGAATAAGGTTGCTGCATTTTGTGGGCTTCGGCAGTACATTGTGTGTGTGTGAGACTTTGTGGGACTTGGGCGATGGAGGACGAGCAACGAACGAACGAGTTACCACACTGCCGAAGTCAAGCTGCAGGGTATACCGCGTTCAGACTTCACGATCGGATCGCTCGATTGAATCGCGCGATCGGATCATTTGATTGGACCGCCCGTCACGACTGCGACGCTCCATCGCCAAGTGGTGCACCGCTGCAGTGATCCCAACTGATCCGCGCTCACATGCCGATTTTATGTTGGTCGTAGGATATCTGTCAAACGCAGATCCTTCCTGCTTCTTCTTTTCTTTCTTCTTCCCTCCTTTTCTTCCTTCCTTCTGTCATCCTTTGAGTGAGAAATTGCCCACAGATGTTGACCACGAGTGGGCGTATGACTGGGGTCTACGGACTAGTTGAACTCAATCCCTTTGACCGCATCTTATGTTTTTTTTTCTTCTGCACTCTCTCGTTCGCGTGGCACTCTGTAATCGTTGTGGTCACACATTCTAGCTTCTCACGGATTTTAAGTTGTCCACCCACCCCGGAGTTCTCTCTTCCTGAAAAACCCGTTTCGTGGCTTGTTACATGTTTCTTGCACGTTTCGATGCCTTGGCAGCCGCTGTCCTCTATCTGTCTGCGTTACATGATTTCGCAGTCGGACCACGCACAAAAGTTCAAGATGTCACGTAGGAAACCCAGCTGTCACAACCGTTCGGCTTCACTTCCGCTGATTTTTGAGTGGCGAAAGAGGTACGCTTGCTCAGCTACGCTCTCATGGAAATGATCGATCCCCCTGGTCTTGAAATCTTCTGCAGCGTGAAAGTTCGTGCTTTTGTTTGGTTTTACGGTTGCACTGGAAACGAGTTCCAATACAACCGTAGAACCCAACAAGCGCCCTAATTTCATGGTCATGCATCCTCGTTCAATGTCATCGCCTTTTCACATAATTCCTTTCATGAACATGTTTTCTAATGTTATCGTGAGCTCAGTTTGTAACTGTCGTTAAATTTCGCTAAAATTGGAATCAGGATAGGAGACCGCTCTTGTTCATAACTGTCTGCACACTACAATTAAGGTATGATACCCAGTCCTTCAAGCAAGGAGAGAAAACTGTTGAAACCCCATAACCCTGGAACTTCGCCTGTAAAGATATGTCAACCTCCGGTACGTTTTCATACTGCTCATTAACCGAATATTAACTATTCGATATCCAAAATGGTGGCATATTAGCGCCTAAAGATCGCCTTGATTATCAGGTGCGTTCTCCTCTGGTAACACCTACGAAGAGTTACGGTGACAGATTCATTCCGATTCGAAAACCCAGTCAGGAGTGGACTACGCGGTACAACGCCATAGTTTGTCCAGAACAAGAAGTTTGTCTCTATTCGTTACTTTCATCCTCTTCGAATTTGTGATTATCTTTTTATGGTTACTATTTCAGTCTCCTGTTAGCTTCAAGCGTCCTACAGCAAATCGTACTCCAACAACTACAACAACTGTGACAAACAATAATGGCAGTCCCAGCTCACAGTACAACCAAAATCAGGTAGCCTTTTTTCTACTCCCTATTTTGTGGAGTGGTGATTTTTCGTTCTTATACGAAAAAGAAATATCGCACATAAAAATGTGCAAACTCATTTCCCCGGAACTTCCATATGAGCCAACTCGTGACTCATAGCTTATCCTCTTGCCAGGAAAGGTCACCAGGTCAGCCTGGCCATTTCCAATGAGGTGCACACCGTGTCTTGAGACGGTGAACTCTAATCTGTCTTCAGAATTTGTGGAACGACTCTCCGAGCGAAGATATGGAGGGTTCTTTCCCCGTAGTTGTTTCACATGCCATCGCGAGCAAACGTAGAAGCGCCTTTACATGAACCAGTCGGAGACGCGCCGGCGTTCTGTAGGTTCTCTCCTTCTCCATCATCTGGAGCGATAGGTGGTGGGAAGAGCTTCACTGCTAATCGGTGGGCCCTCGCTAGTTCGCCTACTTCCGTTCCGGATGAAAAATCCTTTATCTATTTCTTGGCGTTTACCTGTTACAAAAAACCGACGCGTCGCTTACTCCGAAGTATTCCACACAAATTAAAGTACGAGTTCTAGATGTAACATATTTTCAGAACACTAATAGTGAAGAATCACGACAGGATCAGATGGTTGTGCGAGCACTGCTTCGCAACGAGTTGCTGCAGGATAGAATCGACGATATACGAGCAAGTTTTGCCCTTTTTCTTTCAAAAAGATTGGTTTCTCTGACACAATAAAGTACTCATACCCCATTTATTAGTACCATAAGTAAGTAATTGAGTGATAGTACTTACGGTAATCCATCAAGAAAATTTTCCACTTTAAGTCGTGCTACAAGGATCTGGAAACTGAGAAGCCGCCAAGTAGCCCGGCTGGAGGCCTTTTCAGCTACATAAAGCGAACACCGACTAAATTGGGAGATCCTAGTACTTCCCATAGGTATGTAATGTTTCTTTTCCTATTTCCATTGCATTGGAAATGTGAGCAGTTCCGCTTTCTGTTCATGTCCGTTCATTTTCCTTTTGCCACCTGGAATGACCAGTTTTATAATTTTAGCTTCGCCTTGTCGCCTTTTTCTGGACCATTGAGTGAGGACAGTCAGAGGCTTCTGAAAAGTCCTCGGAAACCACAAAGGAAAGTCCCAAAAAACCCGTACAAGGTAATTTTTCCCTTCTCCACCTTGTGTATCCTTGTTTATTGTGAGCAGTGTATCAAGCAAATGTTATAGGTGTTAGATGCTCCCGAGCTTCAAGACGACTTTTATTTGAATCTAGTCGATTGGTCTTCGCAAAATATGTTGTCTGTGGGTCTGAATACTTGTGTCTATCTGTGGAGCGCCTGCAACAGTCAGGTACAATTGGCTTCCCCTTTTCCTAATTTCTTTATTCCTGGATAGAACATATCGGTTGGATCTGTAGAAAGTGCGCCATAGTGTTAGGAAATGCTCTTCTTTATTTAAGAAAAAGCCCTGCGATTGCATATTGTGGATAGTGGCGCTCAGATACGAACCTGTACTCGCCAAGTGAAACTCCAGGGGAGAAAAAAGCAAAAAAAAATAGTGTTAGACTGAGGCCCGTTAGAGGCCTCTACCTCACTGATCGTTTCTTCGCGTCATGGAATTCTAATAAACCCAACAGTTCAAGAACGAAAAACAAGGTGGGAAAAGTGACCTCGCGACAAAAAAATAGCATTTGAGTTTCGGTGGGAGGGACAAGTAGGGAGAACAGAGCTGCCACTTAACGCGGACCGCAGCGCCTTCGTTGCTTATTGCGAAGCCGCGGAAACGGGATAATTTAGAGACTGAGGGCCAGACTACTTGAAAAAGGAGTCCTCGCGCAAGTCGGTTAAGCACAGGGCTTTTTAATAGTCAGCAACACAAAAGTATTCACTTCGAGCGAAGCTTTTTGTTCCAGGTTGTTAAATTATGTGATCTGGTGAATGATCAGGACACTGTAACTTCTGTGCAATGGGCAGACAAAGGCGAACTCCTTGCTGTTGGTACGAATCGCGGCATCACTCAGGTAAGTCTTCTGTTTTATAAAAGTTTGGGCATTCCTTCCACTATTGCGGCTCTGAAACTCAAGAACTTTTTTTCGCTGAGACTTCGCTTATAGATGATATTGCGCGCCCAATTGCGACTATAATAACCATTTTCTTCCTGTTCAATGTGCCATTTATTCGCGGCGCCAGCGCTAATGTGTGGCATTCTTGTAGACACTGGCATTAGCAGATTGCTGAGCGTCTTTTGGCGCGGCGCCAGCCACAAAAACGAATGTCATAGTATGACAAGTGTGGAATTTTATTTAGAATTTTTTTGTTTCTCGAGTCGCAGTAGTAGAATAAAGCCGGACTTTGTCATCCGTTAAAATATTTCTAAGAACTGCTGCATGCAGATTTGGGACGTGCATAGTCAAAAGATGACCATGGAGCTGTCTGGTCATACGTCACGCGTTGGCTGCTTGGCTTGGAATGGCGACCTCGTCTGTTCAGGCAGTCGCGATCGTCACATTATCCAACGTGACATTCGTCAACCACATAACACAGAAAAGAAAATGAGCGCACATCGTCAAGAGGTGGGTTGGCTACAAAATATGATCATCTTAGCAACCTATTACGAGAATGCTGAGCTATAAGCAAAAGTCAGCCCCAGACGGAACTCGAAACCGCATCTCCCGCTTACCTCGCGGTATCCATACGTTAAACGGCGTCGCGCTTCACTGCCGATGTCGGCTAACCGCCTCATCACGTCGTGTAAGTGCCGGAAGGCAAGGGCTCAAGAACCCGTTGCGAGAGGGTAAGAGCGATCCGCGCATTCGTAATGGAGAACGCAAGCGCCCGGTAGTCGGGAGACGCGAGTTGAGTCCCGCTTGAGGTCTGACTTTTGCTCATAACTCAGCATTCTTATGACAACATTTGAAGCGCGTACTGCGGCATTACACAGCGGATGTCATATTGAAACAACGTAAAACATCTCAGCAACTGTTCACTCAGTTCGTTCATTCGTTTATCGTTTTTTGGAGTTTCGATCCCGTTTGTCGAAAGGGATTGCATTGGAAGAAGATTCGGATTTCCCAAAACTACTTCTTGTGAGAACGTCCAGCTTTAGAGGGAAAGTCAAAGATGCACCTCTGGATTCCTGCGCACCTCGCTTCCGTACTGCAGCGCATAGACTTCATAAGTGTCCTTCAGCTCGAGCGTTATTTTTTCCGTAGCTTGTTGGTCCTCAAACGTGTGCTGGCTGACCCATGTCAGCAGTGAACCGTCAAGCTACCAGGGACTACATAGCACAGCTGAAAAGTAGCACGCCATGGGATGGAATGGGATGATTTGGGTACTTCTGATTAGTGGCTCTGATTTCGGCGTTTGATCAGTGTCGATAGAAGGTACCTCTTGAGAACGACAGCGTAAAAGAGTGGTGGAGAACGCCGTTGACTCGCAGAGATCAGAATTTTTTAGCATTCTTAGGATTTCGAGAGATATGGGGGCTTCACAGTTGTGAGTACGGTCCCAGAAATTGGGCTTGGACAGAGTCATTTGCTGTCGGCTGAATTCATTGCTTGTTGAGAACAAGGTTAGAAGCAGATACAGCTTATTTTTGCGTAGCTCTAGTTCGGATTAGCTTGTTAGTGCCGATTTTTTCAGTGGCTGAGTTGCGCACACCTAAGCTGGCCCAACCAAACTGGTAGCAATTACACTATGCGAGGATTTGTTTTGCATTGTTTTGTTTTGGTTTACTCGTGTACTCCGACGTAGTTCTTGCTATCGCCGTAGGTTCGCCATGCGGAAGAAAGAAATTTGTAAAGTTTACTATGAACTCGTTAAGGTCTGTGGTCTGAAGTGGTCGCCCGATAAGCAGTATCTCGCATCAGGTGGAAATGATAACCAGTTGTTGGTATGGTCTATGCGACGTACTGATCCAAGCCAGGTAAGTCAAAGTTATCTTCATTGAATTGTTGTTCTGTATATGTTAGGCCCCTCGAGAACTGACTAGGACAACTAGTGATTTGTGAAAATATTTTTAGGCGCTGTTAGCCCTGGGGTAGGCGATAGGTATTACTGGTAAGACACGTAAACTCTAATGAAGTAGGAAAAAGAAGAAGCACTGCGCTTTGATGAAACCTGGAAGATCTTGCAAACCAAGTAGACCCTTTTTCAATGTTCTTCTTCTGGTACGACCCTCCCTCCCTTTCCTCTCCCCCATCCTACTACTATCTTTCCAACAAGTAGACCCTTTTTCAATGTTCTTCTTCTGGTACGACCCTCCCTCCCTTTCCTCTCCCCCATCCTACTACTATCTTTCCAAAATCTCCTGGCGTTCTACCATTTTCGCGGACGGATTCTCCGATTTTTTTCTAAGAAAACTGCCGTCGAGTGGGGGGGGGGAGAGTATGCACTTGAAGTCACTCGAAACAGGAAAAACCGAGAAAAGTCAGCAACTCAGCCATGTTCTCGAGGGCAAATACAACCCTGCTGCCTAGCGACTAAATAGGTATCCTGGCGAGAGATACTGAATTCGATGTGCCCTGAGTCTTAACTCCACAAGGGTTTGCAGGTCTTCAGAATGCCCTGTACAAAATTTGTTTAAAGACAGCTTCCGCGATAAAAGTGTCATGGATAGCTTGCTTTTCAATTATGAAACAGTAGCTGATAAGTAATTCCCCAAAGAAGAAAAAAAGCAAGAAGAGTCCTCAAGAACACCATAAACAAAATCGCTCCCTGGCAGTCACACCTCCCTGCGGTCTCTGTGCAACCCCTGGCTCACAAATCCCTTTATCACATCTCCCAGTAGTGGATATCATCCAATGCAAAGAAAAGAATACGAAAAACAACAAAAACACGGAAGAAAAACTCTTGAAAAGGAAAAGAAACTTTCAAAAACTCGGCGTCCGAATTTAGGGTTACGGTAGCGTGCATCTTTTAGTGTAGTGTAGTGCGTCGAGCTTTTGCACCACGAAAATTGGGTCGCTCGTGATTTTTACGCGTTTACCTTGCGAGATGGGTTGGAGTTGACTGTATGTGCTCCTAATGAATAAAATGTAATGGATGAGTACCGAATAATTTATGGGTACCAGCGCTGTCAGTAAAAAGAACATGCAATTCCGATTGATGTCCTCCGCCCCAACAAAGAACAACTGAGCGGCCCTCCGTCTAGCAAGTGGGCGGTCCAACTGGGCGGGCGTTAGAACTAGAACTTTCAGCGGCTCCTCGCTCGCTGTGGAGTCGCGAGAGTGGGATAGTCTCCAGCTTGGGGCTGTACTACTTGCACAAGAAAGGACAACAGTGTACTACTCCAGTGCGGGGCTTCCTTCAAAACAAAACACTACTTTTCCCAGAATATTTGCGAATTCATCTTTTTTAATTTTCAATTCTGCTGACTGTTTTCATGAGATGCAAACTTAGTTGTATTCAGACATTCACCGAACACAGTGCAGCGGTGAAGGCACTTGCATGGTCACCACATCATCATGGTCTCCTAGTGTCTGGAGGTGGGACTGCTGATCGTCATTTGCGATTCTGGAACACGTTGACCGGTCAGCCGATGCAAGCTATCGATACGGGAAGTCAGGCAAGTACCGGTGCATTGCGGAGGCTGTTTAGCCTCTCGGAAAAAAGTGCAAATCAGTTGCAAAAGCATTTTGATTGGCACATTTTGATTTAGGTATGCAATGTAGCGTGGTCAAAGCACAGCAGTGAACTTGTGTCGACCCATGGGTATTCTCTGAATCAGGTTCGTATATTAGTTGCGCGTCTTCTTGACGCAATTTGGCGACGG